AATGTCCCAATATATTTATTTATTATTTATTATTCATACATGATTCTTCATCAAAACTCCATAGCTTTTACGAGAAGGAAATTGTTTCTATATAAATAAGAAAATATCGCCGCACCCTAACAATAATTCGTCCAAATTAGTAAATTACACGACGTTTCTTTACGAGTGCAATATTTGTTTATTGTCACATCATTACTGTTTTGTCTGTTGATTGGTCTAGTGATTAACTTATACGAGTACACTACTAGCACCTGGGTTCGAGTCTCGGGTCAGCCAAAACAAATATTAAGGTCATTTACCCTTTCTGACTGTTAAGCATTTATATTCTACGCGCGTGGGAACTTCTATAACAAAGTTTACGAGTACTTATTCAGGTATCGCTTATTTATATACAAGTTGAAATTCAATTGATAGAATACTAGCAAACAACCCTGGCTTCGTCTGTAAAGAATATTATAGCTTTTCCTGGTAAATTGTAATTTAAAATAAGGGTTTTTCAAGATTTCAATCTTCGCAGCATCACTTGAGTTTAAGATTAAGTCATAAGAGAGCCCTTTGCTATAAGTTAGATTAAGTTTTATTAATTGTATTACCTTTTACTGATTGTTAGAGAAATTTTTTTTATTACTTATTTTATTTAATTTAGATGTTTGTTTTGAAACAGACCATTAAACCTGAAATAATCGGCAACATGCATACAAAATAAATAGTGAACTCGTGAAGTACTCATTTTTAGACATCATCTATACTTAATAATTTTATAAAGTTAAAGTGAATGTTTTTTTTTTAAATTTTATGTATGTTTGCTCATGAAGATCTCTCGAACTGTCAGCCAACTGGGCTACCATTGCCTTAACTCTCTTTGTCATTCCTTAATGTAACAAATAATTTATGTGTCCTGTTATTCTTATAAATATGACTTACTGTAAGTACATATATATTCTTAAAATAATATTATTATAATTGTGTAGTGTTCATCCAGTGGTCGAAATTTGAATTTGTATGAAAAAAAAAACAGTTTCGATTTTTTTTCAAAAGAATAGCACTAAAGCTCTTCAATAGCCACTAAAAAAAAATTACAAAAAGAGGAGAAAAAGATATTTTTTTTAAATGTCAAATATTCGCGTAAATCTAAGAAAGTATTATAAAAATTATGTCCACTAATTAGGTAGTAAAAAAATAACTTGCCAAATCGTACTATTAATAGTGCGACTTAGATTAGCTAGTTTGTGGCTATTAGATAAGAGATAAATACATAAGCGGTCTATTACTTCGTATCATAGAATTTGAAGTAAAGCAGACGATACTCTACTCTACGACACTCTACAGATGAAGCCAAATAATAGTGTTATTAATAGTATACTGAGTGATAAGTAAACAAATGTTAATAAATAAAAATAGCTAACAGATTTTATTATAATAAAGAAAATAATGAGCGAATATTATGCTATATCTCTTTCATTGGGAGGTGAACTAATGCTTAAAAATACAAATTAACATATATATATATATATATATATATATATATATATATATATATATATATATATATATATTATTTAGTATTATTTAAATTTTCTTCATAAAACTTGTAAATTAACAACTAAAATCTATACATATAATAAAACTCTAACTGAATCGAATCTGTACATTAAATATTCTTTGTAAAATCTTATTGAAATAGTCAATATTATCGATACAGAGGCCGAATCTATAGTTTATAGATTTTTTGTCTGTGTATGTCTGGGAATGTATCACGAGAAAACCACTGGACGGACTTTGATGAAATTTGGTATGGTGATAGCTGGTTATCCGGATCAACATATAGGATACTTTTTACTGCGGGAAAATATGTCATATCTGAGAAATCCATACTAATCGTTAAAACGCACAGGGACGAACTCATACGGAGCGAGGGTGAGTCGCTAGTCTATACTAATATTATAAAGAGGTAAACTTTGTGAGATTGTGAGTTTGTGACTTTGTAGGGGGTAATCTCTCGATTTACTGTACTGATTTAGACGAAATTTGGTAAGAAAATAGTTTGAGACCCTGGGAAGGACAGGATACTTTTTATCCCGGAAATCATCCCTTAAGGATGTGAAAATGGGGATGAAAGCTTGCATGGGGAATCAAGTCAGACGAACCTGAGCGAAGCGAGGGTGAGTCGCTAGTAGTATATAAAATTACACTTATTCGTTAAAGAAAGTAAATGATAAAAAAGCTGTATTGAGAAAAGTAGCATAAATAGCAAAATCACACAACTATTATTGATTTTGACATTTTTTTACGGTACCATCTATATAGTTCTTTAGTCTAAGCCTAAACTTGATTAGACAAGTATCTGACAATTGTCAAACAAACCTTACGTAAAGGCCTTAGCTTCTAACGAACTGCAAACACTGTTTGTCTTTTCAAGGAATTCTATTGTTACAATTAATTATCGCTGGCCTAACTAAAGATGGAAGCTAACTAACCACATCTTGCCTGCAGCTTCTCATATGGACCGTACCGTGATTTTAGATAGCCTAGTCCCGTTGAAATTCGACTATAATCATTATTGAAAATTTAAGGAAAAAATATATGAATAAAATTTACCTATTGAAACAGCTCAGAAGGATTTTCGGAAAAACAAATATTTGGCAATTAACAATTATATTTATTGCTTTATCTGAATACTTATTTTACATTTTATATTAGAATGCGAATCCCCGACTGTCCACTTGACACATCAAAAATCAACTGTCAAATCCACAAACTGGCACATAAAATAACTGAATGTTACTCTATCTACTCGTATATGAATTAAAAACTGTTTCCAATTTTTTTTTTTATTGATAACACTAAAGTTCTTCAATAGCTACTATATAAAAAAATAGCTTTACGCGCGTTTGAAGTAAAACTTTTTTGGCAAATATCTCAATAATTAAATTAAAACTTATCAATAATTAAATAAGGCATATTAGGAATATTACAATCATATACTTATAGAATATCATATACGGAAAGAATATAATATTTTATATTTGCCAGTAACATCGGTTACCATGGCCACAATTGGTCATAGCTTTTTTTTTAATTTATACATTCATCCCACAGTACTAAACATTCGTTTACTTATAAAGTAATCTATACATATAATAAAATTGTAACTAAGCCGAATCTGTACATTAAATATTTTTTGGAAAATTTTATTGAAATAGTTATTATTATCGATACAGAGGCCGAATCTATAGTTTTTAGAATTTTTGTCTGTCTGTTCCGCATCACAGAAAAACCACTGAAGGGATTTTGATGGAATTTGGTATGGTGATAGCTGAATATCCGGGTCAACATATAGGATACTTTTTATTGCGGGAAAATATCTCATTTCTGAGAAAAAATACAAAAACTGCAATGTAAGAGTATACTAATATGTAAAATTTTTGTCATCTAAACGCGGGCGGAGCCGCGGGCAATGCTAGTGATTATTATAAAACTATTATTAATAAATGTATATTTTAAACATAATAATTATTACATAAATATAAATATAATATATGTCTTAAATTATTAATAATAAACTTGACTCTCACTTCCGTAACACTCATTTTTCCAATGTATTGCCTTACACCACAGTCACGCCTAAACAAGTTTTACTTCAAAAGAAAAATCGGTTGACACAAAGAGGAGAAAAAAGTACTGAACTGTTTGTATTTGCCTATTTATATATAGACTAGCAAAACCCACGGCTTCGCTCGCGCTAAAACTACTAAAATATCTCTAACAAAGTAGGTTTCATACAAACTTTTATCATCTATTTAACCCCTTTATAGGATGAATTTCGAAGAATGGTAAACACGTATTTATTAATATGTACTGAATAGTATTAATACAAAGTTTCAAGTAATTCTGATCGCAAATATTTTTTTTTGGTTTGTATCATAACGTATTTTCCCGTGGGAATAAAATGATTTCCCGCGGTAAGAAGTAGCCTATGTCACTCTCCAGCCCTCCAACTATCTTCACACAAAAAATCACGGCAACCTATCACTCTGTTTCACGTGAAAGAAGGACAAACAAACAAACACACTTTCACATTTATAATATTCTAGTATGGTATAGATAAGTCAGTTAATGGATAACTTTTACCAGACGCTTTTAAAGTCAAGCCTGAGTATAAAATGCAATACAATTTACGTTCTGGCGTAGCACCCCCCATAGTGCACTATTGGTGGTCTTAGATAGGTACTTAGAATAAGTCAACTTAAAATATTTTTAACCGACTTTGAATAATAAGGTATTCAATTTAGTTTGTAATGTCCTTGCCTATTGCTCCGATAATTTTTTTAATAAATCATATAAATTAGAAGATAATAAATAAGGTTTCAAACATTTTTCTATGACACCCGACATTAAGAGAATCCTAATTTATTTATTTTGGTAGTGTAGGCCCACGAGTACATTTTGTGTATTATCATTGAATGACAACACTTTTGGCTCAGTTTGTAGTGACTTGTTGTGCCAGCGGTCGCGGGTTCGAGTCCCGCTGGGGGCATTCACTTGTGTAATGAGAACGAATGTTTGTATTTATAATATGTATATAGATATTTAAAGTTATATATGTGTATTGTATCAACTATCTGGTATCCATAACACAAGCCTCGTAGCTTACCATAGAACTAGATGGTGCTGTGTGTTAATGTGTTAATAATTATGCTTAAATAAATAAAAAAATATTCTATAGTATTAAATGTTGCGACTAATCTCTCACTGGTCGTGTTTGAAAAGCAAGTTTTCGAAAGACATGTGAAGTCCGCCATCCCACACTTGGTCAGCGTGACGGACTATGGTCTGACCCCCCCTCGTCTTGAAGGGAGAGCCGTGCCCAGCACTGGGACGTTAAAAAGGGCTGAATACTTAATTATGGCCAGTGTCAGTGAGATTGGCTTAATTATAATTGGATTTAATAATAATAATATTTATATTGACAGATCTCTTTCCATCATCGTATTCTCACGATGGCTGCACGTGTTCCTCTGCTGGTCATCTTCGCTCTTTTGTTCTTGGACTGCTGTTATGGCGCTGCTGTGAGTAAAAAAATCAAATTTATTTCTACTTCTTAAGTAAATACCTAGAATAAATTATTTTTTCACCAATAAAAATAATTAAATTATTGTACTACATTTCATGATAATATTTACATTTCAATGACCGGTAAAAGTAGGTTAAAATCCCAGACTATGGAATAATATAGACATAGATAGTGTCATAGGAAAAAATATGAAGCCAAATAATAATATTAATAATATTTTAAAATAATATATAAGGAGATATAAACGTCTAAAACCTCAGTCTCTCCCGTGACCATGATTGCTGTAAAGCATTCGAAACGTCGAGAACCAAAAATCAAAATAATTACGCGAAATAATCCGGAAAAGATAGTTTTATTTAAAATGTCAAATATTCGCGTAAATCTTAGAAAAACTGTGATAGTAAAAAAAGTTAACGGATTTTATATAAAGAAAAATTAAACGCATTCAAGTGTAAAAATACAATACAAAAGAATGTAATATTATTTATTATTATTGTAAATATTTTCTTCTCAAAAGTTGTAACTTAGGTACCCTAGGTACGTTTTATCGATTAGTATGGAATAGATAGACTAGGTATATTATTGTCTATACCTACTAATATTATAAAGAGGTAAAGTTTGTGAGTTTGTGACTTGTAGAGGGTAATCTCTGAATCTACTGAACCGATTTAGATGAAATTTTGGTAAGAAGATAGTTTGAGACCCTGGTAAGGACATAGGATACATTTATCCTGGAAATCATCTCTAAACGGGTTGAAAATGGGGATGAAAGTTTGTATTGGGAAGCAAGCTAGGGGCGAACGCGAGCGAAGCGAGGGTGAGTCGCTAGTATAATACATAGCCTATAGCCTTCTTCACTAAACGGGCGATCTAATGTAAAACGAATTTTGCAAATCCGATAAGTTTGATTTAGTTCCTGAGATTAGCGCGTTCAATCAAACAAATAAGTAAACAAACTCTACCTCTTTATAATATTAATATATGGTATAGATTTAGTAGAAATAATATTATAAATTACGTGGAGATTATAAAAAAAACCTATATAGATTTTTTCTTTTCAGATTCCAAGAGCTTACGACCCACGATTAAGCGAAGATGTCATTTTAACGCCGAAAAAGAGACCGTTCTGCAACGCCTTTACTGGTAAAAATACTTTCAGATACATAATAATATTATTAAATACCTATTAGAAATTCGAAAATTATAAGTGAGAGTGTTTGTTGGTCCTTCACATAGTAACGGCTGGTCGGATTTGGATGAAATTTGGTACACAGATAGATTATTATGATCTTTACATAAGTAACACATAGGCTACTTTTATAAATAAATAGCGGCTTACCCTCGCTTCGCTCGGTTGCGTCGCTAGGTAAGTACAATTTAATTTTTTTGAAAGTAATCCTAATTCTTTTTCTAAAATAAAAGTACCCTAAGTTACTCCTTATAACATCAACTATCTACCAGTGAAAGTCCCGTCAAAATCGGTTCAGCGGTTTTGAAGATTAGCTGGAACAAACAGACAGAGAGACAGACAGACAAAAATTTTAAAAATTATATTTTTCTTATAAGTACCGTATATACTTTCATATGTATCTATTTAATAAAAAGCTGTTATTTTGACATTACAAACAGATACTTCAATTTTATTTATCTGTATAGATGTATAGATAAACTAAATGCCAAAAGGTAGGTGTAAATAAAAAAGTTATTTAGGAACGTACTCAGGTGAAGATGTGAAAAATATATATTATGTGTATAGGTGGCTAAAGTTTTTGTTGTTTTAAAAGAGCCTGGAAGTTACAAAATCGCTTTTTTAAAAGTTTCTTTACAATATTTCAGGATGCGGCCGCAAACGTTCTCAGGGAACCCCCGGCATGCCTATGCAAGAGTTATTCAGACAGAGACAGGTAAACTCCCAAGCTATAACAATTATAATAATAAAATTTATTCATATACCTTTACAAAGTTACATAATATATAAAAGATACGATTGCTTACATAATCCATACATATAATAAAATTCTAACTGAGTCGAATCTGTACATTTAATATCACGAAAAAAACCGAAAAACCCCCGAGTTTTATTTAAATAAAAAATATATAAAATATTCGCTTACATCTAAGAAAGTAATCCATACGTAAATAGATTATAATTTTTTTATGATACTTCCAGCTCATAGACGAAGACAGTGTACCCTTAATGGACATGGACCCCACTCTCGACGAACTCTCACGACAGGTGATTGCTGACGCGAAAATGTGGGGCCTCCTTAGAGACGAAATTTCACGACGCAGAAATATGGACTACCAATAGATAATTAAACAATTCGGCGAATAATCTTGGACTGCACAATGATTGTTGTTCTAAAAATAAAGTTTTACCCACCATTCAAATTTTTAACGGTTCAAAGGTAAAAATCATAAATGCCTATTAGTTTCCTGTTTTTTATATATAGGTTTTAATAATTATAAATAATTCATTATTTTAATCAATGACATTTTAATAATCAAGAATTTAAATTACTTATAGAGGTCTTTTGTTTTTTTAGTATAATCAAAAAAAAAACGAATTTTATATTTTACCTTTGAACTTAAGAATAATATTCTCTTTTAGCTTTATAAAAATAATATAGTGTTGTCTCTCATGCAGAAAAAAGATAGACAACTATCATTTCTATGTGTCAGAAAGAGACAAATTATATTTATATCGTATTTTATATGAAGAACTCGGTCTTAATTGTGCAGTCTATGTAAAGACCATCGACATCTCGTAGCGTTTCGATTAAAAAAAAATTAACATAATATATTTGCGCGTAAATTTATCACAGATAAGTAATGGCGGAATGTAATGGAAAAATATACGCTGTAATAATTAATAACGCTAATAATAAATAATTATAATCTAGGAGGTGACATCAAGTTTTGTATATATTTTATAACCTACATATAGGATAAGAATTTTAATAATAAGTTATGAAGATATTTTTTTTTAACTGAAATACTATTAGTCATTTTAAATATAATAATTTATTTATAATTATAATATTATTTAATGCAACAAAAATCGCTCCCCAATTTAAGAGCTACATCTGTTAGATAGAAATAAGTTGTCAATGTTTGAAAATAAAGTAATAAAATATTTCTTCAAATGACTTTGCTTTTATTTTTATAAATATTCTTTTTGTTCTTGTATTTTTTTATCAATACATATAATAAAATTGTAAATAAGCTGAATCTGTACATTAACTATTTTTTGGAAAATCTTATTGAAATAAACATTATTATCAATACAGAGGCCGAATCTATAGGTAGTTTTTAGAATTTTTGTCTGTCTGTCTGTTACTGCATCACGAGAAAACCACTGGACAGATTTTGATGAAATTTGGTATGATGATAGCTGGTTATCCGGGTCAACATAAAGGATACTTTTTACTGCGGGAAAATATCTCATTTCTGAAAAAAAATACAAAAACTGCATTGTAAGAAATCTAATATGTAAAACTTAAGAATTTGGTGTTTGGTCATCTGGACGCGGGCGGAGCCGTGGGCAATGCTAGTATACATAATATATTTATAAAACCTACGAAAAATTCACGAAACATAATTTTCATGGCTGTCGCTAGCTAATAACTGTTTACGTATCTTATAAAACATACACATGAATGGCGGACGCAACCGAGCGAAGCGAGAGTTAGTCGCTATTCTATACTATAATAAAACTGTAGAGGTCAAATGTCTGTACATAGAAAAAAGATGCTAAAACCCGAGTGAGGGGGGTGTAAGAAGAGAAATAGAACAAATCCAGTTTTTTTTTTCAATTTTTTTGTTTCTGTCTGTTTGTCTGTTTATTTGTTTGTACGGCCAATCTCCGAAACTGTTGGACCGATTTAAATGAAATTATGCATAGTGGTACCTTATATCCCCGGTCAACATTTTAGATACTTTTCATCCCGGAAAATTTAAAGAGTTCCCGGGGGATAGTTAAAAAACTATATTCACTTATACAGCTTAGAACACAAAAACTACTGATTGGATTTTAATGAAACTTTACAATAATATAAATCATACATCAGAATAACAAATAGGCTTTTTAGTCCGCAAAAATGTACGGTCCCCGTGGGATAGACTTGTTTTTGCTTGCCGCAGTTTTCAATAAAATAAATATAACAATGATTCTATTTCACGTAGCTTTTATTATAGTTAATGAAAATTATAAAAATAATCAACAAATAATCTGCTAATTTTATTATTTTGAATTAAATCATTTCGTGCAGCAGCTCGCTTGACAGTTGACAGTTACTATCTTTTTATATCCTTCAAAGTTTACTTATCCATACTATTTTGCACTTGACAAGTGCTCGTACTTTGTGTACATTGTATCTAATAACCTTTTAGTGATATTTAGAAAGAAATGTGGGCCATTTATGGCTTTAACTTATCATTAACTAGCTTTTCTCGCGGCTTCGCTCATGTAGTATATACTAATCTATATTAATATTATAAAGAGGCAAAGTTTGTGAGGTTGTAGGGGGTAATCTCCGGATCTACTGAATCGATTTAGATGAAATTTGGTAAGAAGATAGTTTGAGACCCTGGAAAGGACAGGATACTTTTTATCCCGGAAATTATCCATTAAAGGGGTGAAAATGGGGATAAAAGTTTGTATTGCGAAGCAAGCTAGGGACGAACCCGAGCGAAGAAAGGGTGAATCGCTAGTGTTTATATATAATTGTTTCAATCCTTAAAATCGTAGCGTGATAACTTATTTGATTAGTGATTTAAAAAAGGTACCTTGCATGGGGAAATGCATTTACGCGTACCACCTGTATACATACAGGTAACGTGGGACTCACCGGCTAGAAAGCCAGTAATACCCACTAAAGCCCAACAGAATCTTCCTCGTCTTAATGAGGCATCGCAGGATCTTTTACACACTCCACCACGATGCTCCGACGGCAGATTTGCCGAAGCAGACCACACATTCAAGGGGTTGCTCCAACGTTCCAATTCGCTGTCAAAGAAGTACCAGGAGCAACCTGCATGGTACACCGCCCACCGAGGTGGGCCACCACTCAATGTGTCTTGGCTTCACGCCCGGCTGGATTGCCGGACGCTAATGAGCCGCCACGACAAGCCAAGGGGCAGAATATAGCCTGTAACCTAATTCAAGAATTAGGCTACTAAATGTCAAAAAGATTTGCAAATCTGACTGGTAGTTCCAGAGATTAGCCCGTTCAAACAAAAAAAACATACAAACGAAGACATTGTTTGTTTGTTTTTTGTTAGAACGCGGTTTATTATTATTTTAATTATCTGTATTTACTAAAATTCTGACAGTAGATATAGACGAATATGTAGGTAATTTGATAAATCCTGCTTGGTCTCTTATGAAGGAATAAATATATATGGAGTGTCATAGAACTAACTGTGAAGCCAAAGAAAATAGTATACCTATTACCTACAAATATTATAGATAAAGAATTATTAGAATGATAATATTAATGTTATAAGTAAAATAAATCGATAGAATATAAATAAATAGGTAACGGATTTTATTACAATAAAAATTGAAAGAGCTGCTATCTTTCTTGCAAGGGAATGGAATAGACTATATACATATATATATATATATATATATATATATATATATATATATATATATATATATATATATGTATACATATTATATATATGTATACATATTATATATATGTATACATATTATATATATTATCAGTACCGGATTTACCTTAGAGCCGCTCCTGGGCATAGTAAAAAATGCCGCCCTATTATCGAAATTTTGAATAAAATGTTGAAAATTTAATTTTTTTAATTATGAATTTTTTGAAAAATGCATAGAAATAATTTATAAATGGTATCATTTTTTCGAAAAATGTTCTAGTTATTTTTTTAACTGATCATTTTTTGAAAAACAAAATCATTTTCGATAACACGAAGAAATTTTTTTTGTCACCCTCTGAATTTTGCCGCCCTGGGCACTAGCCCCGAGTGTCCCTAGTGTAAATCCAGCGCTGTATATTATATTATATACTTATACACATATATGTAGGTATGATGAGTTGTTGTAAGTTATATAATATATTATATGACTTGTTGTAAGTTATTTCCCGGGAGAATTAGATAATCTCTCGCGGTAAAAAGTAGCTTATGTCACACTCCAGCCCACCAACTACTCCACACAAAATGACGGCAACTCCGTCACAGTGTTTCGACGTGAAAGAAGGACAAACAAACAAACAAATAAATAGACAGACACACATTCAAATTTATAATATTAGTATGGTTATGGATATAGTATTATTTTTATTTTTCATTAAGAAAATATCATTCATCACTCATTAATGAAATCGTCCAAATGCGAGTCTGACAACACACCGAGGGTTCCCAGTACAAATCAAAAATCAATCTTTTAACTTATTAACTGCTCCTATTTGAAGTCGGTTAAAATAAAAGATACAATGATAATAAAATTTATATCAACATCTAGATAGAATCTGGAGTCTAGATTCTAGACAAATAACAAATATCTCTTTTAAGGATGAGTAAACATTCTAACATATAAAAAGGGGTTGGTTTGCGATTTCCTCACAGTACAAACGCATACGAACTGTTAGTACGTACATAACGTGACTTTATTTAGTAAATTAAAACAGATTTCTTTACGAAAATGGTTAAAATTTCAGCAGTTCTTTGCATTACAATTTTATTTGTTGGTACGTTTATATTTTTCTTGTGTTATAATAATAATTTACTACAAGATAGGCCCATGAAAGAGATTTTTATAGGTTTTAAAAATTATGGAAATTATTTTGATAAAACTCTTTGAAATCATTAAACGCCATTTTAAAGTCCCACTATTGGATACTTCAATATGAAGAGGATTTAGTCCACCACGCTGGCCAAGTACAACCTCATACCCACATATTAAGTCTTTTGAAAAGTTGCTAAATTCTATTAGACATGCAGGTTGTTTCATGTAATTTTTTCACCGTAAGGCAAGTGGTAATCATAATATTGAAAATGATAATATCATATCAGAGACCCGGGTTTGAACCCGCTTCTCTTGGTTGCCGAAACGAGCGCGTTACCACTAGGCCATCCTCTCTCAAATTACAAGACCTTGTAATCTAGGTTGAGCGTTTTAAATTATTTAGTCAGTATTAGGACATTTTAAAAGGCGTTGGTCAGAGAATCGATTTCTTTTTTATAAATCGGTAATTTATTTCAAATAAACATGTCAAATAAGTTACAAAAAAAATAATTAAGTAAACGACTAGATATCTATACAATCTTGCAACTAACGTAACGTACGTAATATTTTTATTAATATCACTTTTCATATGTAATTGATCATTTTTTTATGATTAACAATGCCATACCTTTTTTAGGTAGCATCTGGGCAGCCGGAGTTTGTAATTCCTGTGGCAGTGAGTGCGCTCCCGCGTGTGGCACTCGCTACTTCAGATCATGCTGCTTTAACTATCTAAGGAAGAAACGAGGACCTGATGACTTTAAAGTAAGTTTTTCATAGCGGCTTACCACCAGCGCTGGATGCACTAGGGGCACTCGGGGCTAGTGCCCAGGGCGGTAAATTATTAGGGGCGGGCAAAATTCGGAGGGCGGGAAAAAAATCTTCGCGTTATCGAAAATGCTTTTTTATTTTCCAAAAAATAAAAAAAGACTAACTAGTAGGTATATTATTCGAAAAATTTATTTTATTTATAAATTATTTTTTTGCATTTTCCAAAAAAATAATAATTGAAATTTTTTTTTTATCGAAACTTTACCCATTTTATGCAAAATTTCGATAATGCCCAGGGGCGGTGCTAAGGTTGAATCCGGCACTGTTTACCACTTCAATTAGGTGCGTCTCTAGGTACCTAACAGTAGCCTATGTGTTACTCCAGGTTATGGTCTATCTGTGTACTAATTTTATCCAAATCGGTTCAGCCGATTCATCGTCAAGGAGAAACAAACGCGGGCCGCATACAAACTTTCGCATTTATAATAGTGGTACGATTGATTTGAAAATGTCTTTTTATAGGTCAAATTAGATTTTTTCCTTGCCTGAGGTGGCGATTTTAGCGGTTTATATTATATTGTACCGATTCTTCTTTCAGATCCTGTCCTCAAACGATAGGAAGCCACAAAGTATCCAGAGGACCATCCCGTTGTTCTCTGAAGGAGAATCTTGGAATATGCCAAATGATTTTAAACTTCACTCATATGAGGATATGGTTGAGAATCAACTTCAAGCTATGTATGATGTATAAAATGTGTGATTATCTACCTTGTCGTAGTCTAAAAGAATATTAAATGTAATATTAAAAAAATAGAAGCTTAAACTATGTTTTATTATAAGTACCATTATCATAATATGTCCCATGTGTAATTCCTATCATCATCATAACTTAGACGTCTTAAACGTTTAACTTTAATATTATAATATTCTTAAATTACTAAGTAAGTAATTTATAGAAGGCCTTTTCAATGCCTAAATTTTATTCCTTGTATCAATACATTTTTTTCGTTATCACTAGTATTTATTTGACACTAGCGACTCACCCTCGATGCGCTCCCTAGTTGCGGTTAAGTTTAGTATAGATTTCTCAGAAAACTATAGATTCGGCCTCTGTATCCGTAATAACGTCTATTTCAATAAGATTTTCCAAAAACTATTTAATGTACAGATTCGGCTTAGTTAGAATTTTATTATATTACTAGCATTGCCCGCGGCTCCGCCGGCGTTTAGATGACCAAAAACCAAATTCTTAGGTTTTACATATTTGTATACTCTTACATTGCAGTTTTTGTGTTTTTTCTCAGAAATTAGATATTTTCCCGCAGTAAAAAGTATCCTATATGTTGACCCGGATAACCAGCTATCACCATACTAAATTTCATCAAAATCCCTCCAGTGGTTTTTCTGTGATGCGGTAACAAACAGACAGACAGACAGACAGACAGACAAAAATTCTAAAAACTATAGATTTGGCCTCTGTGTCGATAATAATGTTTGTTTCAATAAGATTTTCCAAAGAATATTCAATGTACAGATTCGGTTTAGTTAGCTACAATTTCATTATATGTATAGATGTATAGATAGAAGATAAAACTTGCCTTTTACAGTACAAAATGAGGTCATATCACATATTATGGATTAGGAACGAAAATGGAAATTTAATATCAATTTGCGCATAATGATATTAATACCGAAGCCAATGTTTAGCCAATAATCTTATATTTTTTAAGTATAATTGGTTACTGAGATTAACACATAATAAAAAAAGAACAAGCCATTAGGTACATTATTAGAATAAATAATAGGCTTCACACATTCATTGATCATTATCAATCAATTATTATTTTAATCTTGTATTTTTAATCTGTAATACTTTTGACTTTGACAGTGCAGGAACAACTGACAACAGTCAACACAGTGTAGCCAACTTAGGCGCTTCCCCCTAAATTTTGGGTCAAAAAATTGCACCGGGTGTTTATGAAAATGTTTAGGTTTTTTAGGGGGCTATAAAGTTTCGTTAAAGAATTGGAAAAATCATATATCTTTGAATATAATTGGCCCATAATTGTGAATAAAATCAACTAAATTAAAATGTTTACTCTTGATCGGTGATATTTTTATCATTATTATTATTAATCCTTTTATTTATTATTTTCTAAGTTTGATATCTATGAAATTTATTGTTTTTATTAACTATTTATAAATAATTATAATTGGTATAGTAATGACCTTAAATAAAAAAATACGCTATTGTAATCATTTGCAATTAAAGAAGTGTGTGTCTACTTATGTACGCACGTAAGAAGTTATACTTCTTTGGCATAGCAGAACAAAAATAGATAGAGATTCATCCCATATGTCACAAGTCTCTGTTTCTAAAAAGAATGATAACTTAATAAAAATAATTAAATTAGCATATTACAATCGTATATTTATAGAATATCATTTAAGGAAAGAATATATTAAGATATATCATTTGTCATACAATAACGACGGCTACCATCAACAAACAGTTATCAGCTAACTTCATCATGTTATTTTTGGTTGTCGGTGTCAAGAAAAAGAAAAGAAAATAAAAAAAAACTCCCAAAAGAAGAATTACTTTAATCATAATAGTAAAAAAATTATATATATTATTTTTTATATTTAAAAAACATAATAGTATTTGCATTGAGCGGGGTTAAAGCAGGTATTTTAGTTTAGCTGATTAATTTGATATTTGAATATTTTTTTACGTTTGACTTAATTATTTAAAGCTGCTTAATTGAGAATTGATTATAATGACTTCTTCTTCTAACATTAGTACTTTTTTTATTCTATATAAACATGAATAAATTACATTAAAAAAAACTATTTTTGGGTATTCTGCTCATGTTTGGCGCCGGCGGGATAAACCGGGTATTTGAGTTTTATTATTCGTAGTCGGGTAAATCAACGACTGTTATCTGGCAGCCCTGGTCAACTGTCAAGTGTCAACACTATATAGGTTTGATTTGAACAAGACAGTTATGTTTTCTGTTACTATTTTGCCGGTAGATATTTTCGTATTAAGTACCGGTAGATTGTTTTAATTTTTATTATTAAAAAATATAACGTACATTTAATATTAGAAATATCATCTAAGAATGATGGACGGTTGGCAGGAATTAGTAGAGGGATATCAAGAAAAAAATGATCCTAAAAGATTTTCAAAACTGTTGCACAGTGCTCAAGTACTTGTTGGTGATGATTTAAGTACATTTGAAGTGGGTAAGTTATCTTTATTCTGCATAGAATTTTCTAGTACAAATATATCTTTATCATAATAAATTTTTAATATTTTTGTATGATGTTTAATTTTTAATAGTTGAAATTATAATAATAGTAGAGAATTGGAATTAGTAGAAGATGTAATCTTTCGTTTTATTTGCAAATATTATGTTGTATACTTTTTTTTAAATATTTTTTTTTTTAAAAGAAAGTCAGTGTATGCTGTCTTGAACAAAAAAACACCAATCGGAAAGCGGTCCTGATATTTGCATTTTTAAATTTTTTTAGTATTTACTAGCTACTCACCCTCGCTCCGCTCTGGTTCATCGGGAGATTTCTCAGAGATGAACGCAATTTATTTATTTTCTCGCAATAAAAATATTCTGTTTTTTATTTAACCTGGATAACCAGCTATCTTTGTACCAAATTTCATCAAAATCCGTCCTGCTGTTTTCTTGTGATGCATTCCCAGATAGACAGACAAAAAATATTCTAAAAACTATAGATTTGGCCTCTGTATCAATAATAATGACTATTTCAGTAAGATTTTCAAAAAAAATGTAAGGCTACTTTTTACTTAATTTAATATTTTTTTATACTATTCATCACACAAGGTAAGTCCTTTTCTAAACAGTCTGGTTTTAAAAAAAAAGATTCATTATTTAGTTCAAAATGTGGTGTGTTCAACACAAAAGATATTTGATTTTAACTTGTTTGTGAAATCTCTTTTAAATGTTATTTTAAAGTAATCTTATTTAGGAATATTCCCTTATTAGGTGTATATTTAGCAGCTCATATCTTAGTTCTATTTTGTTTAATAATAAGTAAGCTCATGCAAGAATCGAACCTGCGATCTTCAGTAAATGTGCTAGTCAAAAACAATATAGATGCTCATCGTGCATTAAGTTATATTTAGTTTATGACACTATATAATTCTCTTTCAATCAAGTAGTTCCACTATGTATGGCTGGTTAACATTAATTCAGTTTCATTTAAAAGTTTTAATATTTGTTTTTATTGTACTTCTTAGTAAAATATTTAATTATTTCCATTTATATTTGGTTTCAGAATATCTATTATCAACACTATTATACAAACCAGTTAATCTACTTCAAACAGTGAGAGACAAAAGGACAAGTGAGGAATGGGACAAGAGTATAACAGATTCTTTGAAACTCTTGAGTGAATTGGTCTCTAGATATGAAACCATTGACATATATTATGAAGATATTGTATCAGTATGTACTCATATGATAATATTTGATTATGCCTATTTTTACCCCCGACGCAAAAAGATTGAGAAATTGTTTTAAGTTTGACGTCGATGTCTGTCTGTGTGTGTCTGTCTGTGGCATCGTAGCTCTCAAACGGATGGACCGATTTCGATGCGGTTTTTTTTATTTGAAAGCCAGTTTCCTTGCGGTGGTTCTTACCTATGTTTGGTTAATATCAGTCCAGCAGTGTAAGAGTATCAGCTCTTTTCCAAAACGATGTAAGGCATTTTGGAGTTTGATTACTCGATTAAGTGCTTCACGCGTGCCAGTGTAATCGTTAAATGACAATTAAATTGCGCAGGGTTTTTTTTTAATTTTTAATATATAATTGTTGTACTTCTGATATTATGGATATGTTTTGAAAAAAAAAAATACTTTAAGTTTTTAATAATAAGTAATAATTGATTTTTTGTATGAAAAGAAAAAAAAATGGGAAAACCACTATCATAATGATTGATAAAAAATATTAGTTTTTATTAATAGTAATAATTTTTATTTAATTTTGGTTAAGAAACATTTTTTTTTTACTTTATAACCATAAAAGTTGTTCAAATATCAGCAAAAGTAATGTAAATGCAACTTGCATTTTGGGTTTGAGTCTCCGGTCATGTCAAAATAGTTACTGGCTTTTCCTGTCATGAAGTACTATGTATACATTTATACAACTAAATACAATTGAATTGTCTGTTTGTAGTATCAAAATAGCAATTTTTTACTGAATGCATATGAAATTATATACGGTACTTATAAGAAAAAACTCAATTTTTAACATTTTTGTCTGTCTGTCTGTTCTGACTAATCTCTGAAACGGCTGGACAGATTTTGACGGGAATTTTACTGGCAGATAGCTGATATTATAAGAAGTAAGTTGGGCTACTTTTATTTAAGAAAAATAATTAGGATTCCATAAAGTTAAAATGCACCTAGAAACGAACACGAGTGAAGGGAGCCAATAAAAGCTAAAATATTGCATGTGAAATATTTATATGTTATTATAATGTTTTAAAACATTTTTGTTATAAGTTTTTCTCTTTTTTAGCTGTGCCTTCTACATTTTGATGCTAAAACCCGCCAATTGGCTTTGACCTGTCTAACAAATATAGTTCGTAAGTCTGTAGTAGGGGCCATAGATTACAATCGACATATAAATGCATTGGAAGAAACAAACACTTGTAAAGCACCACTCGCTTTATTAGTTGGTAAGGAAAACTTTACGTTTGGCTCA